GCACAGAAATCTCTTGCATTCCTATACACTAATGATGAAAAATCTGAAAGAGAAATTAAGGAAACACTCCCATTTACCATTGCAACAAAAAGAATAAAATACCTAGGAATAAACCTACCTAAGGAGGCAAAAGACCTGTATGCAGAAAACTATAAGACACTGATGAAAGAAATTAAAGATGATACCAACAGATGGAGAGATATACCATGTTCTTGGATTGGAAGAATCAATACTGTGAAAATGACTATACTACCCAAAGCAATCTACAGATTCAATGCAATCGCTATCAAATCACCAATGGCATTTTTTACAGAACTAGAACAAAAATTCTTAAAATTTGTATGGAGACACAAAAGACCCCAAATAGCCAAAGCAGTCTTGAGGGAAAACAACGGAGCTGGAGGAATCAGACTCCCTGACTTCAGACTATACTACAAAGCTACAGTAATCAAGACAATATGGTACTGGCACAAAAACAGACATAAAGATCAATGGAACAGGATAGAAAGCCCAGAGATAAACCCATGCACGTATGGTCAACTAATCTATGACAAAGGAGGCAAGGATATACAATGGAGAAAAGACAGTCTCTTCAATAAGTGGTGCTGAGAAAACTGGACAGCTACATGTAAAAGAATGAAATTAGAACACTCCCAAACACCATACACAAAAATAAACTCAAAATGGATTAGAGACCTAAGTGTAAGACTGGACACTCTAAAACTCTTAGAGGAAAACATAGGAAGAACACTCTTTGACATAAATCACAGCAAGATCTTTTTTGATCCACCTCCTAGAGTAATGGAAATAAAAGCACAATTAAACAAATGGGACCTAATGAAACTTGAAAGCTTTTGCACAGCAAAGGAAAGTACAAATCAGACGAAAAGACAACCCTCAGAATGGGAGAAAATATTTGCAAACAAATCAACGGACAAAGGATTAATCTCCAAAATATATAAACAACTCATGCAGCTCAATATTGAAAAAATGAGCAGCTCATGCTGCTCAATATCAGAAAAAAAAAACAACCCAATCAAAAAATGGGCAGAAGCCCTAAATAGACATTTCTCCAAAGAAGATATACAGATTGCCAACAAACACATGAAAGGATGCTCAACATCATTAATCATCAGAGAAATGCAAATCAAAGCTACAGTGAGATATCATCTCACACCAGTTGGAATGGCCATCTTCAAAAACTCTACAAACAATAAACGCTGGAGAGGGTGTGGAGAAAAGGGAACCTTCTTGCACTGTTGCTGGGAATGTAAATTGATACAGCCACTATGGAGAACAGCATGGAAGTTCCTTATAAAACTAAAAATAGAACTACCATATGACCCAGCAATCCCACTACTGGGCATATACCAAGAGAAAACCATAATTCGAAAAGACACATGCACCCCAATGTTCACTGCAGCACTATTTACAACAGCCATGTCATGGAAGCAACCTAAATGCCCACTGACAGATGAGTGGATAAAGAAGATGTGGTACATGTATACAGTGGAATAGTACTCAGCCATAAAGAGGAATGAAATTGGGTCATTTGTAGAGACGTGAATGGATCTAGAGACTGTCATACAGAATGAAGTAAGTCAGAAAGAGAAAAACAAATATCGTATATTAACGCATGTATGTGGAACCTAGAAAAATGGTACAGATGAACTGGTTTGCAGGGCAGAAATTGAGACGGAGATGTAGAGAACAAACGTATGGATACCAAGGGGGGGAAGCGGTGGCAGGGGAGTGGTGGTGGTGGTACGAACTGGGAGATTGGAATTGACATGTATACACTAATATGTATAAAATGGATAACTAATAAGAATCTGCTGTATAAAAAAATGAATAAAATAAAATTAAAAAAAAAAGACAACCTACCAAATGGGAGAAAATGTTTGTAAATCATTTGTAAGAGGTTTATATCCAAACAAACAAACACAATCTTTTTTTTTTTGGGGCTGCACTATGTGGCATGCGGGTTCTTAGTTCCCGGCCCAGGCATCTAACCCATGCCCCCTGCAGTGGAAGCGCGGAGTCTTAACCACTGGACCACAAGGGAAGTCCCCAAAATATATGAAGACAATCTGATTAGAAAATGGGCAGAGGATCTAAATAGACATTTTTCAGAAGAAGACACACAGATGGCCAACAGGTACATGAAAAGGTGCTCAACATCACTCAGCAACAGGGAAACGCAAATCAAAACCACAATGAGATATCACCTCACACCTGTTAGAATAGCTATCATCCAAAAGACAAAAAATTACAAGTGTTGGCGAGGATATAAAGAAAAGGGAACCCCTGTGCATGGTTGGTGGGAATGTAAATCGCTACAGGCACTACGGAAAACAGTATGGAGATTTCTCGAAAAGTTAAACATAAAACTACCATATGATCCAGCAATTCCACTTCTGGGTTTTTACCTGAGGAAATGAAAACACTAACTTGAAAAGATATCTGCAAGCCCATGTTCATGGCAGCATTATTTACAGTAACCAACACATGGAAGCAACCTAAGCATCCACTCATGGATGAGTACACAAAGAAAATGTGGTATATATAAATATACAACGGAATATTACTCAGCCATTAAAAAGAAGAAAACCTCAGGACTTCCCTGGCGGTCCAGTGGTTTAAGGCTCTGCACTACCACTGCAAGGGGGCATGGGTTCTATCCCTGGTCAGGGAACTAAGATCCCACATGCAGCATGGCGTGGCCCCAAAAAATAAATAAATAAAAAGAAGAAAATCTTGCCATTTGTGGCAATGTGGATAGACCTTGAGGGCATTATGCTAAGTGAAATAAGTCAGAAAGAGAAAGACAAACACCATATAATTTCAATTATATGTGGAATCTAAAATCAAAAACAAACTGAATTCGCTGATACAGAGAAAGATAGTTGGTGGATGGGCAAAGTGGGTGAAGGGGATAAAAAGTTACAAACTTTCAGTTACAAAATAAATAAGTCATGTAAGGTACAGAATGGTAACTATAGTTGATAATGCTGTATTGTATACTTGAAAGTTGCTGAGAAAGTAAATGCAAGGAAAAAAAATTTGTAACTGTGGTGATAGATGTTAACTAGACTTACTGTGGTGATCATTTCACAATATATACAAATATTATGTTGTACATCTGAAACTAACCATGTTGTATGTCAATGATATCTAAAAACAAAACAAAACAAAAAAAACTTCGGAGAAATCTAAGCCATGCCTAATAGGTCCTTTAAAGCAGCTACAGTCTTTTCAGCATCCCAAGTGTATACCTGTAGGTCTTATGATTAAGTCTTTAACACATTTTGAATTAAAAGACAGGGTTGCAGGCCCTCTCTGTTAACAGTAGGGCTTCTATAATTTTGAGGGCTGTTGTCCTACATCAGCCTCATGGAAGAGAGAAGGGTTTATCTCTAAGATTTGTGGACATGGCCTTTGTGTAATAAAATGGGTTATAAATTGATATACAAGAAACCCACAAGGCTTTTAAAAATATCAACTTGGACTGAAAGGGACAGATGCAATATGAAATGAAAGAGGCTTCTGTACCCCCAAAATTCTTTGAGCAGGTAACAGACTAAGAACTACCGAGCGTGATCACAGAAGAGGGAGGATGACTCAAGGTTGAACTGACTTCCCAATGGATGGAAGCAAGAGACACAGGGAACTCCTAGAAAGTAATAATGGATCCTAAGAGCAAAAGGAGAATTAAGTGCCAGGGTGGATTTCACAATTGCTATGGACTAATGATTCCTATGTACTTCACACCCTGCCTCTCCTTTCTGAGTGGGAGTATCTATTTAAAAAAAAAAAAAAAAAAGCAAAGAAAGGAAAGGAAAGAGACAAAACAACCAATGCAAAGCGTGAATCTTGATTACATGTTGGTTTACAAAACCAAAACAAAAAGACTTGGCTATAAGAGATTTTGGGAATAACTAGGATATTTGAAAAGTGCAGATGCATAGCCCCGAAACCAGTCATTTCGGGTCAACCTCTGGGGGTGGGTCTTCCTGACAATGGTACCTTTGGAAAACTTTCCAGGAGATTCGGGCCTGTGATCAGCATTTGGGAACCACTAAGTTAAAACTTTCCCTTCCCCTTTGCTTCATCTTATTTTCCTGCCCTTATGTTTCCTCATTTACATTTTTTGAAGCCAAAATGCCAATATATTAATTTAAGATACAATCAGTAACTGACAAAGACCAGGACACTTGGGTTATATGATCAGCACATTCTGTCCCTGTGGCCAAACTTTGATGGAAGCCTAATCCTAATCAGAAGGCTTAGGATACTTAATTTAATAACCACAGGAAATTACTTGCAGCGTTCAGAAACCCTTGAAGTCAGTTTTCTGACTTTTAAAAATCTTATTCCAATAAGTGGATTCAAATCTCTTTTTGGAACAAGGTAAAATAAATAACAACAACAACAATAACATAACAATAATAATAGCAGCCTCCTCAAATTGACTCTTACTATATGTGAGGCACTTTACAGTGATGGCATTTATCATAAAACACCTAACAACCTTACAAGATACTAACAATAGCTAAAACCTCTGTAGCATTTACTATGTGCCAGGCACCTCTAAAGTGCTTTACCTGTATCAGCTCATTTAATTTTCACAACCTTATGACGTAGGTACCATTTTCATTCCCACTCTACAAATAAGGAAAGTGAGACCCCTAGAGGTTAGGAATTTGAGCCAGGATTTGAACCCAGGGAGGTTTCAGAGTCTATGCTTTTAACACTATGCTACTGGCCTCTCTAGAAATATTATCCACACGTTAACTCATTTCATCTCCCAAACCCCAGGAGAAAGATGGTTATAGCATGTCCATCTTACAGATGGGGAAATGGAGGCTCAAGGGGGTGAAGTGGCTATACCCAGTCACTGTGGCAGGACCAGGACTTGAGCCGGGTTTAAGTGACCGCAAAGCCCTGAGCTCCACTATGGGAAGGCCTCCCTGGGTGCTGCCTGGGCCTGGCCACCTCACCTGTTTGTAGATGAGCTCGAAGGCCCCTGTGTCACAGCTGCGGTCCAGCCGCTGGTCGATGACCACGCGCAGGGTGTCGGCCTGTACGCCGGCACAGAGCCGGGCGGTGACAGCCGTGGAGGGTGCCATGGTGGGGCTGGCGTTGATCTCGATCAGCCAGGGCTGGAAGTCCTCACCGAACACAAAGTCAGCACCGTAGAGCTCGAAGCTGGCCTTCCGACACTGCACGGTGTCCTGGGAGGGCTGCAGGGCGTGGATCACCGCAGCTTTCATGCCAGGCACGATGATGGTGGACCAGGCGTTTGGTGCCCCCATCTCCTGCAGGTGGGCCTGGAACTTCTGGCTTGACCACATGTTGTCTGAGGGCAGCAGTGGGTGTCGGTGGCACGAATTCTCCAGGTGCTTCTGGATGGAGTTGTTGCACAGGTGCACGGAGCTGGGACAGAGAGCAGAAAGCTGAGGGCTGGCTCCCTGTGCCCCTCCCAGCCAAACGTGGGGAGGGCAGGCAAACCCCGGAACCAGCCCGGCGCACTCTGGACCGTTCAGCTTGAGGTGACAAAGGCCTCATCACATTCTTCTAGGGCCACTACCAGTCTTCACTCAGGACCTCTCTGAGGGCACTAACTACAGGGGCCACAGTGTTAAGTGCTTTGTGACAGTGTCAGTTAACCCTCCTAGTGCCTGGAAGATAAGAAGGTGGTTAAGAGTAAAGGCCCCATGGTCACCAAGACACGTGTTCAAGTTCTATCTTCATCGCTGACTGGTAAGACCTTACATAAGTCACTTAACCCATGGGCTCCTTTCAACATCTGTAAAATGGGGGTAAGTAACAGTACCCACTTCACCCGGTTTTCATGGAGGACTGAGATAACATACATGAAGTGCTTAGCAATCGTCACATACAGAGCACTCAGTAGCCGACAGCTATGAGCTCCATATTACTGCCTCCATTCTTCAGATGTGGCAACGGAAGCTTAAATACTGGTAAGTTTTCACCTGACCCAAGTCACAGAGCTTGGAAGCTTCAGAGATGGAACTTGAACCGAGGGCTCAACAGGCTTCCTCTCCCCCGAAATGAACGCTGCAACCTGCCTCTCTCCTCTCGCATTTCTCCTGATCTCCCTTTACGCCGCTCTACATCCTTTCTTCCATAACACATATCACTTTTAACCCATTAGATGATTTTACTGATTATGTTCATGGCTTGTCTGTTTCTCCCTGTTAGAATATGAACTCTTGAGGGCTGGGCTCGTTTTGTTCACTGCTGTGTCCCACGTGCCTAGAACACTGAATGGCACAGGGTACACAAACAGGTGGTTGGATGGATAGAGGCCTGCCTGCCTGCAGAGTGTGTTTGGAGCCCCGCATTGCCTTGGAATTGCTGCTTCCTGCCAGCTCCCCAGCTAGACTGGGAGCTCATGGGAGTGAGGGTTCTGGGGGAGGCTCACTTGTCCAGGTTCTTCAAGGAGAAGGGCTGTGTAGAGAAGCGGATGTAGCTGTCGCGGTAGAACCACACAGTAAGTGGGTTCCAGTCAGTCACCAGGAACCACTGTCTCAGATCAAACTTGGTGCCAAAGATGAGCAGTGGCTGCTCAATATACTTCTGCACCACCCACTTGCCATCCTTCATCATCACGGGATTGCCGTCCACCAGCTTCAGCATCTCCTCCAGGTGGTCCATGCACATGATGCCTTCGGGGGAAACAGGGTGGTCAGGGATCAGGCCAGGCTTGGGCTGGGAGATGGGTCAGGGGACCATCATCCCCAAAGGACTGATAGGCCCAAATGGGTAAGCCTGCCCCCTTCTCCCTGTTCCCTTTGGGAAAGCTGAGAATCTGCTAAGGATTTACAGTTTTAAAAAAAATTAACCAGTTTTATTTGATGAAAAGGAATATATGTACGGATAACAATTCAAACAGTATTGGGCTTTTTAAAAAACCATGTGCATAAATGACTTTGATTAGTTTTTCACAATAACTAATGGAATATAAAACAACAGAAGTGAAAAGTAGGCAGTACAAAAGGGTACACAATTAAAAAAAATACATCTCCTTCCCCAGAGGCAGCCAAGTGCTGCTTCCAGGTCCTATGGATAGGCTCCCAGGTTATGGAAGAGTTGTATGTGCCTCAGTTTCATAGGATTCTATGCATTTAAACATGCTAAGGAATTAGAACACTGCTTGGCACTTGGTGAGCATCCAGTAAATGGTAACTCATATCATTATTACTAGTTACCTGTGGAAAACATCTCTAGCTATAGATCGGCTGGCTCAAAGGGTATGTGCATTTTTTCACTTTATAGAACAAAGATGTTCTACCAATTTGCACTCCCAGTAAGTGTATGAGATTGTGTGTTCGCCCACGTTCTATCAACACTGTTGATGATTTATTTTTGCCATTCTCTTAGGTAGAATGATATTTTAATTTTATCTGTTTTATAACGAGTGAAGTTAAGTATCTTATGCTAAAAAGGCATTATTTTAATGCTGATATATACAGTTGACCCTTGAACAACACGGGGAGTAGGAGCGCCAACCCTCTGAGCAGTCAAAAATTCTCATATAACTTTACAGTAGGCCCCCTGTATCCGTGGTTCCGCATCCACGGATTCAACCAACAACAGATCATGTAGTACTGAAGTATGTATACAGCGAAAGAAATCCGCATATATGTGGACCCACACAGTTCAAACCCACGTTGTTCAAGGGTCTACAGTAAGAATCACAAGGCAAACAAACACACAAAGCAATCTCATTTCTTCATTGTCTGGCGCCTCAAACAGTCTGATTGCCCGCCAATGGCACAGAATAACTTGTCTGGGTTCCCAAGCCAGATCCTTTCTCAAATGGCCAGAATGATCACTAAGATTCCTAATAACATGACGCCTTGTATAGCCAAAGATTGAGGCTGTTCATGACCTCTGACCCAGCAATTTCACTTTTAGGAATTTATCCTAAGGAAATAAAGGGAAAGGCTACTAAGATATCTGCACAGGATATTCATCACAGTGTTGCTTGTAATAGCAATTCATCAATCAATAATCAAATAAACAGGAAAAAAAATGGTGGCCATCTAAATATCCATCAGAAAAGGATTAGGTAAGACCATGAGAGTACATCTAAACAAGATTAGACTATGCAGCTGTAAAACAGAATGAGGTAAGAAAGCACATACTGTACTGTTATATAAAATTCAAAAACAGGCAACACTAATCTATGGTGTTATAAGTCAGAATAGGGGTTCCCATTGCGGGGAGGTAGAGACCTAGAGATGGCATGGGAGAGGGCCCTCTAGGGTGCAGGTAGTGTTGTATTTCACGACCTGGGTGCTGTTCCCACGAGTGTGCTCACTATGTGACAATTCACTGAGTTGTGACAATTCACAATGCATATCCTTTTCAGTGAAGTATATTTTACATATTTCAATTAAGTTTTTCTAAAAATGGAGAGAAAATGTTGAAATACTTTGGGATTCACTGTATTATTCTCTCTGCTTTTGTGTACGTTTGAAAAGTGTCTATAATAATAAGCTAAAAACAGGCGGGGAAGAAAAGCAGATCTAGATGTACTAAAATGGGGTGATCTCCAAGATCTACTGTTAAGAAGAAAGAAAGGTGCAAAAAATAAATGAGTAATACTCACTGATATGGAAAGATATAATAAATGAAAAAAGGAAGCTACCAAATAGTATGCTGTTATTCAAAATAAAACATGCACACACTCTCCAGATGCATAGAAGTATAGAAAGAAACACATCACAAGGTGAATTGTAGTTATCTCAGTGAAATCAAGGGTGCCTTTGCTTCCTTCCACTTTTCTGTACTGTCTGATCTTTTTTTAAAAAATAACAAATACGTATTTTCATACCTGGAAAAAACTAACAAAACTATTTCCAAGGTAGAAAAAGAAAAGACTATGATGCTGGTTTTGAAAAGACATCCCAACAGGAGTGTCCCATAGTGTGTGGAGCTGCGACAGCTTCACTTGGACATGAACAAATTCACCCAAGGGCAGGCAGTACATGGAGCCATCTGCTGCCAGAAGTCTGTTTTTTACATCTTGGAAGTCCTTAACCATCTTTTAAAGGCTGGTCTAATGCACCACCCCAGCTTGCTGGCTGCCCTGTTCGAATTCCATTCATGCTGAGCAGTCAGAATAATAGCTGCTATTACATAGCAGGTACTCTGTAAAAGCGCAGGATCTAAGCACTTTTCATATATGATTCTCATGTAATCCTCTCAGGTAGGCATTATTGGCTTCATTTTAACAATGATGAAAATGAGGCACGGAAGAGGTTAACTAACCTGCTCCAGGTCTTACGGATATTAGGAGGCAGAGCTGGGGTTTGAATCCAGGAAGTCTCGCTCCCAGCATCCATACCCTTGACCCCTGTACTATACCCTCACAAGAATGCACTGGTCAAATATGAGAGCCCTTAGATGACAATCAACTGCATGTGAGTATCACCAGACCTGCCTAAAGCATTAACCTAAACCCTCAGGGCAGGAGAGGAGGTGCTGACATCATCATCACAGCAGCCAACATTGATGGGGTAGCTACTGTGCCAGGCACCATGCTGAGTGGTAGATGTACTACCTTGTTTAATCCTCAACAGATGAGGGAACTGAGGTTCAGAGAAGTGATATAACTTGCTCAAGTTCACACAGCATATAAGTAGCAGAGCTGGGATTCGAACCTAGGTAGTTTGGCTCCAACAGAACCTGTACTATTTAACTTCCCTGGCCTCTAGCTGGGGAGGGTGTAGGGTGCTGGTACAGGAAGCTGACCCCCACCTCGTCCACGGGACTTGGCTCCCGGCTTCACGATCCAGATGTTGCGATCTCCTTCCATGTCCATCTGGGGCACCACGGCCCGCAGCTGCTGCAGGATGTCCTCACAGCGCTGGACCTGAGTGTCGAGGTACCTGAGTTCTGCCCCCTCGCTGTAGGGAGATGATGGGACTTGGGCAGGGCTGGGCCTGGGGGTATCCTGGTGAACAAGGCAAGGGGAGACAAAAGCTCCCTGGCCATGGTTCAACCAGCTTTGGTCACGCCCTTCCCCTAGAGATCCAGATAGGTCTCTCCCAAACGTCCAGTCCCACGCTCAGGCTGTCCCCCAAATCCACCCTGCCCAGGGCACCGTCCCAGACTGCTGGAATGGGAGAGGATGGGGACATTCTACCTACTGCACCCCCCTCACTCCAACACTCCACCTTCTGCCACCTCCCTTTCTATTACATTAAAACTGCCTTTGATAGAATTTAATCATACCAGCATCAAACGATGAGGCACCACTATGTGCCAGGCACTGTGCCAAGGGCTTTATCTATATTATCACTAATCCATCTCCAGGGAGATGTTACTGGTCCCATTTTAGAGAAGTATAAACTGAAGGTTGGAGAGTTGAGGGATGTGCCCAAGGCCACACACTGAGTTAAGTGGCAGGATGCAAACTCCATTCTTCCTGATTCTTCCATCCACAGGTGCTTTTGGGGGTTCATTCCCCTCCTAATCAGAACCTAACACTGGTTGATAGGTGGGCCCCTTCCTAGTCTAATTCTTTTTTTTTGCGGTACGTGGGCCTCTCACTGCTGTGGCCTCTCCCGCTGCGGAGCACAGGCTCCGGACGCGCAGGCTCAGCGGCCATGGCTCACGGGCCCAGCCGCTCCGCGGCATGTGGGATCTTCCCGGACTGGGGCACGAACCCGTGTCCCCTGCATCGGCAGGTGGACTCTCAAGCACTGTGCCACCAGGGAAGCCCCTTAGTCTAATTCTTTTCTAGCACATCTGTATCAAACATCTCCTTGATTTATTTCTCTTCCCATCACTTACCACCTGACACCCAGACTGATTTGGTTACTGCCTGTCTCCGCTCACTGGAACATAAGCTTTATGAGAGCAGGAACATTTTTTGCAGTTGTTATTCTCTGCTGCAGTCCCAACCCCAAGCAGTACCCGGCACTTCTTAGGCGCTCCCTGAAAGTTTGTTAACTGAATGACTGGTTGGATAAGTAAGTCCTCTGGTGGGAGCTGGCCTCAGCAACTGGGCTGTACTGACAAGGGCTCATGGACAAAGAGGGACCTGTTCCCTACAGGACACAGAATGTCCTCAGCTAAACCAAGTCACAAAATACCCCAGATGGTAGCCTCATCCAAACTCTCCCATTTGTTTTCTTCTGAATGAATACGAAGGAAGCTTCCACTGGATGGTAACGTCTCTTTAACATCTTAGCCTCTTGAATGTCTCCAGCCGGGGAGAACTTGTCTCTCTGTTGCTAAGGCAGGAGCAGAAGCAGCAGCTGGGCAGTGCCAGGAACGGGGACAGTCAGATGGAGGGGGCTTGGCAAGGCCTCTTACTCACACGTAAGTCCTGGCTCTTCTATTTCCACAAGGTTTGCTGGAAACTTTTCTGTGGCCATGGCATAAAGAATCTGCTGAGCAAATCTGTGATTTGGCCCAGGAAAGTGTCACGTGGTGGTGGCAGGGGCACGTGCAACTTGAAAAAGTGTATTCAACATGACAATATGATTTTATATTTAGCAAAAAAAAAAAACACCAGTGTTTCTGTGGAAAGTGAACCTTGATAAAAGCCTGGTTGGTGGGGGGAGCGGGGGAAAAAATAAAAGCCTGGCTGGTGCATCATGGATTTGTTTTTTTAAAAATTGAGAAGCAGCGGTAAATACCGAATAAATTAATAAAAGCTAATGATCTGTACTGAACAATTCAAGGCAATGTTATATGATGTAATATTTTCTGTAATCCTGACTTTTGAGAGGTTCCTCCAGCCCCCAACTTGCCCCACATCCAGAAATGCAGAGGATTGACATTCTTTCCACCTACGGTTCTAACTCAGTCCTGATCATTCTTAATTTAAGAAGGGTGGCTTCATGTTTTCTGCAGGTGAGGGGAAAGTATGGGGTCACCTAGTTTTTGTTTCCCAATGTTTAAAAACAGATACAAATGAATTATTCATCAATGATATGGGTTTGCTTGGTAAGTCATTCGTCCAAAGTTCATTTATTAGTTCTTCAGTCTCCCCTACCAATCATTAAATCTGTCTGTTCCTTTCTATTCTAACACCATGCCAGCTGAGGCCCCTGGCACTCCCCCGCAGCTTACTGCTGTGTGCCCCTGAGGGCAGGGACTTCGTTTCATTTCTGGAGCCTGGCACAACTCCTGGCACACAGGAGGGGCTTGGTAAATGTCGAGTGTGCTCCTGGCTTCAGGGCCCTCCTCCGTCTAGGCTCTCCTACACACTCTGTTGAACAGAGTCTCTCTACAACAGCTCCAGGTCCATCTCAATACTCCTTTGGTCTGCTCAAGAACCTTTTCCCAGAGTGTGTTCTGCAAACGCAACCGCTCAGGATGCTGGGGGCGGGGGGCTGGGGTCACCTAAGTACAGGATATACTGCACACTCTGTCTCTCTTGGAGGTTTATACCACCAATAGGTTCTGAAAAGTCCTGCATCAAGGAAACCTATTTTAACTAACTTTGTTTAACCCAATGTTTTCCAAATGTGATGGACCTGCAGGATAAAATCTAAATGACTTAATAGAGTCTTACTTTGTGAGTGAAAACTACGAGTCAGTGCTGAGAACATCATACAAACTATGCTGTCTAATCCTACCTTTCAGGCAGACATTATTTTTAAACCAATTTTACATTTGAGAGAAGCAAAGCTCAAAAAGATTAGTGATGTTCTCAAGGTCACAGAGCTTGGAAGCGGCAAAGGCAGACTCAGGTCTATCTGACAGCACAGCCATGATCTTGGTCACTATGCTATGTCAAGATCTGGGAACAGTAGTTTGGACCCTATTATGAAGGCAGTGGGAGCTCTTGGGGGTTCTGAAGGAGAATAGTAGGGTGAATGAAATGGGGAGGTTTGGAGAGAGATGGGGGGCAGCACTCGACAGAGAGGGTCTGTCCCTGAGCATCAGCTCAGAACACGGAAGCTGCCCGAGAGCAAGGAGCACCTGCCATGCCCCGTGGCCAGGGCTGCAGAGGTACTCACTGGACCACTTGATAGTAGCGCTGGAGGAAGAGGGACCAGCCCTCAGGGCTCAGGTAGAGCGGAGCCTCCATGTCCTTGTCAATGTCCACGTGGGCCACGTAGTTAAGGTGCTCCTCGCAGGCGCACAGAGCCTCATCCACAAACTCTGGGGACACCGTCACCGGCTTCTTCTCTTGTTTCTTGGGCTGCTTGTCTCCTGTAGAGACAGGGAGGGGGCTGTCACTATCCCGTATGCCATGGCCCCCACTGCCCCAAGGCCTGTCACTTACCTGAGACTTCACCCTAAATACACCTGAGGCCCAGCACACACCTGCATCCCCTACTGCCCTGGGACCTATCACTCACCTGGGGCTTTTGTTCTAAATTCACCTGCGGCCCCAGGGCTCACCCTTGGCCCCCAGTGCCCCAGGACCTATCACTCATTTGAGGCTCCACCCTAAATGTCCCCGAAGCATCTCAGCACCTATAACCCCAGCACACACCTCTCCGTGCAGCCTCTCCGTGCTTGGGAGTTCTGACACACCTGAGGCCCTTGTGCCCCTGCTCCCGACACACGACAGTCTTCTTTGCACCTGACACACCCAAGAGACAGCAATTGGGCCGTCGGCCTCTGGAAGAGCCAGGGATTTTCCTCCTCCCAGTAGAGCTGCCCCTCACTTCTTCGAATCCCTGGCTGATGAGACCCTGGGTTACAGGGTGGAGGCTGTGAGGTAGGAGCTAAGTCCAGAGAGGGAAAAGGCAAGCAATGGGTTGAGCCAGCAGGCAGTGAGGGACTCTCTGTGTCCCCCTTCACAAGGCACAAGGAGTCCTCAGACCACGTGAAACTACATGGTTTCACAGCTTCCTCTCCTCACAGACCTGAGCTCCCCACAGGGCAGGGATGGACCACATCCTCTTAGTCTGTCCTCTCTAGAGTACTTGGCCACATGCCAGGCCCATGGGAGGGCTGAATGAGGCAGTGGGTCAATTAACAAATGTATAGGAAGACACTTGGGTAGGTGGTTGGGACAGAAAAATGATGAGTGGATGGGCCGGAGGACACATAGGTGGTGGATGGCTGGATGGAAAAGAGGTAAATGGATGGCGAGACAAGGACAGATAGGTAGATAGGTAGGAAGGTGGAGTGGCTAGACGGATAGGGAGAGAGGAGCTGAGAGAAGTAGGTGAATGAACAGAACGACAGTCAGGGGGAAGATGAATGGATGGATGAATGGGTAGGTGCATGAGTTGGGTGGGTGAGTAGGTAGGCAGATGGATGGACAAAGGGTGGACAGATGGGTGGATAAATGTACGGATGCGCTGGTAGGAAGGGGTGGTGGATGGGCAGATGGATGAGAAAAATACAAAGACAGATGCATGGATGAACAGGTGGACGGATGTGTGGCTGGGTGGGAGGATAAGAGACTGGGGGGTGGAGGTAACCACAGTACTTACCTGGGGCCTCTTCCTCTTCTGCTTGGATAGAGTATGACTTCCATTCTGACTTTACCACCAGCTTGAGAACGTTGCGGGCAGCTGTCAGCCAGAAGTCCTCTGCTCCCGGGGCAGGGGATACCCTGCTCAGCCTCTAGGCTCCAGGCCTGTTCTAGTTCCGGAACCTGAGCATGACCTGCCCCATTTTGGATCCGGAACCTGACTACTGTTTCTGACTCTAGAACCCGGATTAGAACCTGGCTTCTGTTTCAACTGTAGAACCAGATCCAGAACCTCCCCTGACTTGGATCATATTCTACCTTCAGAATCATGCCTGGATCTGCTGTCTGATTTCTCTGCCTGGATCTGCTGGCTGATTTCTCTCTTCTGTTCCTGATCCACTTTTTTTTTTTTTTTTTTTTTCAACCACTGCGCCACCAGGGAAGCCCTAGTAGGCTTTTTTAGGGCCGAATTTTTCTCCCAATTGTTATTAACCAGCTGCATTTTTTTTTTTTTTTTTTTTTTTGGTGATTTTTCTTAAATTTTATTTTTTAATTGATGTATAGTTGATTTACAATGTCCTGATCCACTTCTGATATTTATCTAGCCTGAGAACCAGACCTTGGCCCAAAATCTGTATCAGATTTGGAGACTAATTTAAACCTAGCATCTAATCTGGATCCAAATTCTGACCTGAATTTAGAGCATGTGCTGGAGTTGGAGCCTATTCTGCCTGAGAATCCCAAAGTCTAGAGCCTTTTCTAGATTTGGAACCCAGTCTAGCCAGTGGAATCTGACACAGGGTTGGAACTTTTTTGAGCTTGGTTGAGTTTGTCTGGATTCCAAAGTCAACCAAGCAACCAACTTTTAGAACCTGCTCTAGAAAGTAAGATAAGCTACATCAGCTCTTCTGGAGGTCTGGGTTGACCAAGGCAGGAGGCTCACTAAGGGAGGCACATTAGGAAAAGATAAGGACATCTGCTGGGGTAGATGAGGGCATGAGGAGGGGCCCTTTACTCTCCAAAACCAGCCAGGGCTTTAGCTCTCTTCCTTCGGCTTGAGGGTCCAGGCATGGGGCTGGCATCTCCTTACCTATGAAGGCCTTTCTGTCATCCTCAGCCCCCAGGCGGTAGCAGCGTGGGAAGAAGGAGTCGGCATCGGCCCCGTCAAACCACGGCAGATTCCGGAGGTTGAGACATAGACCCACCTATGGAGTTAGCCACTGAGGGGGCAGGGTGGGACTGGCCCAGAGGGCCTCCAAGGGCCCCCACACTTGGCACACACCCAGACAGCTCAAGGGGACCCTGCTTGGACGTGCTCAGAGCCTCTGCCCCACTTGCTAGGCTTGAGCCGCTCATGTCCACCTCCCCGTGTTGCCCATGTGGTTCCTCCGTCGAGTATGCCCCACATCCTTCCTATCCACTCTTTCACACCCTTAAATACCTGCCTTCTCTAGGAATCTTCCCAGTCCACACTAATAATATACTAGCAGGTCTCAGTTATAAAGCCTATCATTCTTGCCATAACCCTAGAAGGTAGGTCTTACTGGTATTCTCATTTAAAGATGAGGAACCTGGGCTTCCCTGGTGGCGCAGTGGTTAAGAATCCGCCTGCCAATGCAGGGGACACGGGTTCAGTCTCTGGTCTGGGAAGATCCCACATACCGTGGAGCAACTAAGCCCGCGCGCCATGACTACCGGGCCTGCGCTCTAGAGCCCGCGGGCCACAACTACTGAGGCCCGTGCACCTAGAGCCCGTGCTCCACAATGAGCGAAGCCACCGCAATGAGAAGCCCGTGCACCGCAACAAAGAGTAGGCCCCGCTCGCCGCAACTAGAGAAAGCCCCTGCGCAGCAACAAAGACCCAAAGCAGCCAAAAATAAATAAATTAAAAAAAAAGAAAATGAGGGACCTGAGGCTCAGAGAGGTGAAGTCACTTGTTAATAAACCCAGCTAAGATATAATGGATCCATCAGCCAGATATGCTCTGCTTGGAGAGAAGGGTCCTCCTGTTCACAATCACCCGACATGGTGCTTGTTCTGTCTCCAGATCCCATTTGGAACCTGGAGTCTATATTAGGCATCATGTCCACATGTGCCAGACATGCTGCAGGGGTTGGATTTGAACCCAGGCGTGTTCGAATCCCACTGAGTCATATACCTCCCCATCTCCTGAAAACTCTTACTGACGAGGAGAACAGGGAGCGGGGTTGCCGGCCCAAGGGCAGTCAAAGGGAGGGGGGGGGGGGGGGGGGGTTAGAAGCTGCCATGCCCGCGCCCTGGAGAGCCCACCTTTGTGGTAAAGGAGCCCGCCCGGGCATAGTGGTTTATCATTTGATCCTTGGAGAGGAAGCGACAGTCCAGCACGTCCCGTCGAGTGGTCCAGATGAAGTAGGGGATCTCGTTCCGAACCATGCGCGACTGTGGGGAGGGGAGGAGACAGGGGAGGCTAATGTGGGCAGCACAAGGCCCGAGGAGGCTTCTTCCCGCACTGCTGGGCAAGGTGGGTGAATGGAAGCAGAGGATGCTACCAAGGGGGCCTCTAGCCCACGCGCCATCTTTGTGTACGTTAAGAAAAGACACCTCTTACTCCGGGGCACACACTGGGTGAGCAGAGAGCAGGTGAGCTCGCAGCTCCTTTGGCCAGGTGCCCCCAGGCAGTGACCAAGCCCCACAACTGAACGCCACACCTTGTTCTGGCTCTTGGCCATGAGTGACTTGCTCAGTGGCGTGACTGTGACTCCCAGCTGATGGGCACACAGCATGTGACAAAGGCTCTCTCGTGGGCTCCACCTCTCTCCGTCCTTCCTGCAACTCTGGGAGGTAGGATTATTGATAACCTGTAACACCATGTGCCAGGCCCTGTTCTAAGCTTGCCATGTCAACTCATTTAATCCTCACCACGACCCTATGAGGTAGGTGCTACCATTATCCCATTTCACAGATGAGGCAACTGAGGCACAGGGACTTGTCCAAGGGCTCACAAGGTTGGACCATATGGAAGTGGCAGTCCTCAACCTCGCCTGACAGACGAAAATGGCAGTTTGGTCTAGTTCAGCTCAGTAAGTGGTGGTGCCAAGATTGAAAGCCAAGTGTCCCCATCTCAGCACACACACCCTCCACAACATCGTATCAGCCTCTTTTAAAACGTTTTAAACCCTTCCTGCTAGCCTTCCCTTGCTGGAGACGGGGGAAGATGAACTATGGGGTTTTTATTTGGAAGGGGGAATTACCAGGCGTGGAGGCTGTGCCGGCTTCTGATAACAACCTATCAAACAGTTCTGAACCCAGGCCAGCCTTGTCTGTGTCCCTCACCACTCCACTGGCCTACCTAGGCTTTAGAAAAACAATCCATTTTTACCACAGATAGGGAAACTGAGGCCCAGAGAAGGAAAGGACTTGTCTGGGGTCACCCAGCTGGACTCTAGTGCTCTCCCTCAAACGAAGCAGACCCCTGTCCAGCCCCCTGGGCCCTCACCATCAGAGCATGCGTCCCATGCGGGTCATCAAATTCCAGTAAATCATCGAAGTCAAACAGCTGTGGTAGCCGGAATGCTTCATCCTCATCTTCGTCCTCTGTGGATGCAAAGACCAGGCCTGGTAAGGCCCCCGTCCCCACCCCACAGGCCCATATCACAGCCTCAACCCTGGGACGGCGGGAACCAAAGGGATGGGACTCAGGAAGTTTGGGGAAAGGGAGGGATTGCTCACCATCCTCAGTGGTGTCACCGTCCCCCAGACCCTTGTGTGGTGGTGGCAGCGCGGTACCCAAGGGATGGACCATCTTCTCCACCCAGCCCCTCCGGCGCAAAAGGCACCGGATCACAGGGTAGCAGCCTTGGATCATGAAAATCTTCTTCTGCTGCAAGGTGACAGAAGAATGCTTGTTCAGTAGGTACAGCCTAAGTGCCTCTCACAGGGGATATAATGGTGAACTAGACAGCGATGGCCTCTGCCTTCAGGAAATTTTTATATTCCAGAAGAGACAGGCTATAAATAAATAGAAAAATAATCTACATAGTAATCAGCATAAGAGTAACTATATTTATTTGCTAATATTTACTGAGCACCTACTATGTGTTAATCACTTATATACATTACTAACAATGATATGTATTTTTAATAGGTACTATTATGACCACTTAACTGGTTATGAAACAGAAACATAGAGAGATTGAGTAGCTTGGCCACACAGTGGTTAAGTGAAAGAGCAGGAATTTACATCCAGGCTGGCGAGCTCGAGAAACTGGATCTTAATGGGGACCCAGAGAAACACAGTCAGGGAAGGCTGAGAAGGAGCCAGGAATGTGCAGAGCCGGGCATGTGCAAAGGTCTTGAGGCTGGAGATGTTGGGAGGAACTGGAAGGAAGCCAGGGTGAATGGAGTGTGGAAAATGAGGGGGAGACCTCCTGAGAGGTAGGAGCAGACTGTGGAAGGTCCTGCAGGCCTTGGAACGAACTTGAATTTTATATTAAGAGTAGCATGAAGCAATAAAGTGAAGGGAGGGAGTGACATAGTTGGAGGCTGTAAGTGTGGCTTGCTGGCTTGCTGTCGTATGGAAAACAGATGGAGGGGACAAGGATGGAAGCAGGGAGATGAGTCAGAAGGCTGTTGTGGGGCTTCCCTGGTGGCGCAGTGCTTGAGAGTCCGCCTGCCGATGCAGGAG